TGGATGAAGCTTTTATATTACTTCATAACATAAATCCTCACACAATTGGCTGCTTTTCCTCTTACTTCATTAAGACTAAAATGGGGAAAATACTTTGGGGAAGAATCAGAGGAACAGCTCTGGGAACATATTTGGGATAATAATAATATTTTTATCATTTATATCCTGCCCATCTGGCTGAGTTGTCCCATAAACTACATTCAGATCCATCTCAATAAGAACTTGAGATAATGCTTTAAAGATGGCACATCGCTGGTACATGTGCCCCAACAGATTACCTGGCTCTCTAGTACACATGTGGTCATTTTCGGGGTAGCCGAAGCAAAGGATTTTAGGTATACAAAAAACAGATTAAGGTAAAGGTAAAGGTACCCCTGCCCGTACGGGCCAGTCTTGACAGACTCTAGGGTTGTGCGCCCATCTCACTCAAGAGGCCGGGGGCCAGCGCTGTCCGGAGACACTTCCGGGTCACGTGGAACAGCGTGACATCGCTGCTCTGGCGAGCCAGAGCTGCACACGGAAACGCCATTTACCTTCCTGCTAGTAAGCGGTCCCTATTTATCTACTTGCACCCGGAGGTGCTTTCGAACTGCTAGGTTGGCAGGTGCTGGGACCGAGCAACGGGAGCGCACCCCGCCGTGGGGATTCGAACCGCCGACCTTTCGATCGGCAAGCCCTAGGCGCTGAGGCTTTTACCCACAGCGCCACCCGCGTCCCTAAAAAAAAACAGATTAGGGCTGAGCATATCTGCTTTTCAACATCAGTGGCTAAACATCGGTCCTGTATACCTGAAGGAGCGTCTCTGCCCGCATCATTCAGCCCGGACACTGAGGTCCAGCGCCGATGGCCTTCTGGCAGTTCCCTCACTGCGAGAAGCCAAGTTACAGGGAACCAGGCAGAGGGCCTTCTTGGTAGTTGTGCCTGCCCTGTGGAACGCTCTCCTATCAGGTGTCAAGGCAATAAGCAACTATCTTACTTTTAAAAGACATCTGAAGGCAGCCCTGTTTAGGGAAGTTTTTAATGTTTAATGCTGTATTGTGTTTTAATATTCGGTTGGGAGCCGCCCAGAGTGGCTGGGGAAACCCAGCCTGATGGGTGGGGTATTATTATTATTAATTATTAATAATAATATTCCAATACTGCATATCACAGTGTCTGAAATTGGAGATCAGGCGTGGGGATGAGCGAAGGAGCAGCCATGGAGATCAGATGGGGGTGGGAGGCGAGGAAGGGGAGTCACTTCCACTGCATGGTTTGAGTGGGAGGAGATTGGGATGGGGGGTGCATCAAGTCATGATCAGCAGGGCAGCCAGGGAAGACGCACGTCCACTGTGGCTGCTGCTGCTTTCCTGCTGACTGAGAAAAGCCGCTCTGCCTCAGTGCCAGGGGAAGGTAGTGCCACAGTTCCTTGAAGTGAGGGCGATCAGCTGCCCTGTTCTCCATCAGCGTGAGGGAAGGCAGCTCAGATCATAGAATCATAGAATCATAGAGTTGGAAGAGACCACAAGGGCCATCGAGTCCAACCCCCTGCCAAGCAGTGTTATCGGCTGAGATCATCATGTGATATTGACGACACCTTGAAATTGGCTGCTCTGCTCTCTCTCATGCGAGGAGTGATATATTGCTGCGTATTGCCGGGTCAAAATTGTTATTGTGGTGTGATTTCAAAACTGGTTTGGGCCAATACATTGAAAGATTGCAAAGCGCTAGAACAGATCATAAAATTTGTGATATTACCATGCAAAAATGACAAATATTTAGTTGGGGGGAGGCAAGGGATGGGGCTGTGGGTGTATTTAGACTGCTAATTGGGAACCACTGTCATAGGGTGTTTACTCTAACCCAGGGGCCAGCAACCTTTTTCAGCCGTGGGCTGGTCCACCGTCCCTCAGACCATGAGGTGGGCCGGACTATATTTTGAAGACAAAAAATGAATGAATTCCTATGCCCGACAAATAACCCAGAGATGCATTTTAAATAAAAGCGCACATTCTACTCATGTAAAAACACCAGGCAGGCCCGACAAATAACCCAGAGATGCATTTTAAATAAAAGGACACATTCTACTCATGTAAAAACACGCTGATTCCTGAACTGTCCATGGGCCAGATTGAGAAGGCGATTGGGCCACGGACCTTAGGTTGCCTACCCCTGCTCTAACCAGATCTAATGTGTTGCCTTCAATTGCTTTGGGGGAGATTTGTTGGTGTTTTTCTCTTGAGGTTTTGTGCTACTAAGAACCAAGAGGTGGAATCTGTGGAATGTATGCCTTTGTTTTGTAATTTTTATGTTGGAGCTTGTTAGCAAATGATTGCCAATTTACTGGCCAAACAAGCAGGCAGATAGCTCAATGTAGTGTTAATTACTTGGAGATAAAATACCATGGGTATCATAGAAAGTAGCCAAATTTTTATTAGTGACAGTGAGGACAAAGAGATGAATAACCACCCAAAGTTGGAAAGAAAATCTTCAGGGGCTACTTAGGTTATCTTCTATATATGAAACTTTAGCCAATACCATTTAAATTATGTTTTGCATTGCATTTTGCTCCGCCCTTAAGGCTATGGTGTACTGTATGCTTTTATTTTTGGTCTTATTGCTGATCTGTTGAAAATAATAAACTGATGCTGAAGCAGAGGTGCTGACTCAGGAATGAGATGGCGGCCTGGCTGCAAATGCACAACATAACATCCGGGCATCACATGTGACGCTGTGACATGCACAGCACCGGATGTCAGAGGCGACGCTGTCACACACAATGTCCAATCGTTGCACAGCAGCTTGGCTTCCATGGCATGTGGCTCCTCCCCCTCCTCTTCCTCCTGCCACCACCATGGGTTGGGGGCTGCTTCCCTTCCATGGCAGGAGGAGGAGCTGAGCTGCCCCCGTGTTCCTGGCTCCTTCAATCTTGTGTGACTATGCGATGCCTGGACGTCGGCTGTGATGCTGTTGTGTGTTACAGCTCAGCTTCCATTGACAGCAGCTCCTCCTCTTCCTCCTCCTGCCCATGCCATGGGCTTGGGGCTGCTTCTCCTGTGTGGCACGTTGTGTGCCTGGACGTTGTGTGTGATGGCGTTGTGTCTGGGCATTGCGTCCAATGTTTGGGTGTCACACAAGACTTTGTGATGTCATGCATGATTTCTGGCAAACATTGAGGGGGCCTAGCCCCCCACAAACAAATATGTCCCCCCCAAGGATTCATTACCCCAAGGTAACCCCCCCCAGCAGTTGGCTTTCCTGTGATGAAGTAATATTTTTACAGTAACAAGCATAGCAAGAATTGGGCACAAACAAAGTAATTTAAGTCCAGATGACTGATCCTCTTCACTAGCTGGTGTGATTATTAAAGCAGTAATGATCAGAACAGCAGTGGGAACAAGATAAATTAAACGAACAGAGTGCCAGGTGACCAGCTAATCTTGAATAAACAGAGCACCCACTTCACATTAAAATGGGGCAGCTTTGCTAACAGGATCCTTTGTCTAATGCTTTCAGCCATATTAGAGTTCTGTTGGATGGAAGTAATGGATGGAAGTAGAATGTATGGAAGTAAAAGGTCTGATCAAGCTGCATTAACTACACCAAACTTTTAAGATCAGAAATTTTGCTTTGGCGTAGGGGTGACCCAAGGGACGGATATGGAGGCTCAGTGCACAGGGAATTGTGGGGGAGAAAGAGATGGGAAGCTGTACCTTCTGTACTTGAGCACAGGAAATCTTGCTTCAGACTTCTTGCAATTGAGGATTTACCCCCTCACTATTGTGATGTCAGTAGTTAATAGCTATAGAAAAAGGAACAACCATTCTAGTGATTAAAGGTTTCATAAAGTAATTCAGGAACTCAATTTTACTCCCACAATTTCTGTTGCATTTGATACACATAGTCTAAATGATGTAAGGTAAAAAACAGATGGATTAGGGATGGGGAACTTTGGGCAGTCCAAATGTTGATGGACTGATGGCCATTCACAGTGGGGCTGGCAAGATGTGCCCAACAACTTCTAGAGGACCACTCCCCATCCCTGTGCTAGATTATGTGAGGTGGGAGTAGAAAGTGACGCTTGATGGTGGATAATAGCAGCTATTCAGATCCTGTTGTGTTCTGTGAGCTGGAAGCCAAAAAGCTGGTTCGGATGGAAAACAGACATAATTGGGTTCGGATGGAAAACAGAGACATAATTGTTTTCCATCTGAACCAGCCTTTTGGCTTCCAAAAACATTTCAGCCTAACTCAGGTAGACTTGGGCTACCCAGACCCTAAAGTAATCTGCAGGTAAAGCTAAGAAGCAGAATCTGGGCTGCAATTATCTAGGTCCCTGCCACCACATCATAATAACTGCCACTACAAGATGGGGAAATGAAAGTCAAAACAGGTAAAAAATGTCTTTGCTTTTTTGTGTGTCCAAGGTGGAGGATGACCAATCAGCATTCTTTGGCCCCTGATCAAACTTAGTCATCACTGGGCTGTTTTTGGAGTTCCCTCAACAATATCTTGTTCTTCTGTAAGCTTCAGGTTATTTCCCAAACTGCTAAAACTTCTCTCCTGTGAATGTGTGGTGCTTTTTTTGTTACATAAACATCGGCACCCACAGCCTGAACACTGGAAATAGAGGAAACGAAAGATTGCAGTCTATTCATGCATGCATATGTTATCTGAGCCTATGGTTAGGGGGTTGAAAACCTCTCAGAGTCAGGAGTTCCTACCCAGCTAAGTCTTACTTTATGTGCATTAAAATACCCCAACTACTTTAAACCCCTGTGCATTCACCATCCATGTATAAGACAACACCCAATTTTTGACTTTTTTTAAAGCAAAAAAATGCCTTATACATGGAAAAATAAAGTTAATGGCAATTGGACATATTATCATCATGCTGCTTGCCTACATTTCCCAGAAGCATGTGAATTTCATGCTAACAGAACGAAGTTCAGTGTTTAATTTGGAGGGTGTGCACCTCAAACAGTAAATTCCTTGGTAATCAAACAGTAACTTGATTCTAGTTTATTATTTCCTTGATTTTATTATTAGTTTTGTGTTTTAACTACTATAAAATATTGCCATCAGTAGCTTTCAAACAATTTTTACTAAGAATAAATAAATAATTGCAGACATGAAAATAGGTAGACTGTAAATTAATATATTCACAAGTTTTAAGTAAAATAACACCACCACCAAACTGTTGCCACTGGGGCATACAGTTTGAGTTGTAGTTGGTGGGGTGCAGGGGGGTGTCCCTTCCGATTAAAATACACATGGGGACATCACATTTTGAGATTGCATTTCAGTGTTAAACAGAGAAAAATAAATTCTACATCAGATATACAGATTGTTTAAAGCAGACCTAACAAATCAAAGAAGTCACAGGGATTGGATGCACCCCCCTTTTTTTACTGGCCAAGGAAATCAATCTCACAGTCTACTGTATCTCAAAACTCTTAACAAATACTTAGAACCACCAAAGAGGACATAATTTTCATCTCAGTGAATAGCAGTAGTTGACTGAAGTCAGCTAAATAACTATGGCAGTGGGCTCAAAGTAAGCCCATGAAACTTTCCAGATACATGCACCTTAGTAGTCAGAAATAGGGCTGCTGTATTCATTTCAGTGTCAAGAAATGCTTTGCATTTACTGCAGGGTGGTACTGATGCCACGCTGGATTGAGGTTGCTGACTTCAAAAGAGCAAGAATTCCACACACCACCAGTTCCTAACAATGTTGTTCCTGAAAGGTGTTGCTTTTACTGCAAAGTTTAATGCATATTGCAGGCCTGGGAGAAAATGGCTTCAAGCTATTTCAATCCAATTTACTCTCAGGGGGCAATTTTTAAATGTATTTTTCATCCTTAAACCTTTATCACTGAGTGGTTGGGTTGTGCAAAATTTTCAGTTTGTCACTTAAAAATATGTAGCTCTCAAAGTCTCCAGGTCACATACGAAATTAAGAATACTTTCAATCTGAAAGCATAGCTATAAGCAGTAGTATTTGGAAATATGTTATATAAGACACTACTGTTTTTTTCCTTCCACGCCAATGGAAAAAGAGGTTAGCTATTAGCTATAATAACTAGAAGCACTAGTGAACAGTTTCCCCCAACATGAAAATATGTGCAACAAAACAAAATTCATGACAAAATAACAAAGAAGAAAAATCAAGCTATCCACATCTAATCTGTAGCAAAGTGACAACTTGGTAAAAATGCCTAATCACAGAGGGCACCATAATTTGGTACTGCAATGAGTGAGGAGCCTCCAAATCCACAGCAATTAATGTTGTGGTTGGGGATGGGATGGTCACACGAGTATTTTCTACACAAAGTGTCTGGGCAAGAATTGGATAGGAAAGACCAGTGTGATTTGCTACATGCATAACTAGAAAATAATGGTTTGCACTAGCACAGCTCATAGATACAGCTAGGTCTGATTGTTTAGTTGGACAAACATTTCCTTAGGTCATACTGGAAGTCCTAAGCAAGAAGGTGAGAGGGTACATGATCCTGAACTGCTGCACATTTCAAGACTGCATGAACCAGCTTTATCTTCATAATGTATGCGGATGTTCTGGATTGATTTCACGATAAACGTTATATTGATCCACATTTTTCCAGAATGTGGAAAGCAGTCTTTCTATACTGATCAAGTAGCAAGTGCTTCTAGACATGATTAAATCACACCACGCTAATCATGTGGAGTAAGAAAGTATTTAACTTTGGTCCAATTTTATCATGAATGATATTAAGAAACAGAAACTGAGTTGGCATGTGCCATATTTAACTTACCCAAAGTGAGATTTAAATGACCTAGTAATGTATGTCTTGTATATAAAACATTATTTCTGTTTTTTATTTTTACTACCAGTGTTTATAACAGTTACTCAGAACAGTTATTGTTGAAGTGTACTTAGTTATGCACAGAAGAATGGTCTTTGGAAAGAAATAGTGGGAAAGAAATAGTGTGTCTGAAGATATATTGAAAAGCAGAATCATCTATCCATATTTGGGCACATTCCAACCAAAGTGAAGCTCTTTGCAAAGTTCCATTGATTTCAAAAGAAGAGAATTAGTAAACCATGCTCTCATCTCCCTATTGGCATCAGTGGGACTTAAAAAGTACATCACTTGGCTAAATTGGCATTTCATCAGCAAACTAAAAATTCCGCCTACTAAATTTCAAATTATAATGCAATTTAAATGTCACAACCAAGAAATTCATTGGTTTTCAGTTCTACAATCTCTACTAGTAAAACAAGAAAATAGGGTTACAGTTAAATGGTAAACTTGCCAAAAGAGCTCTTGACTTCATTGGTTCCAGTGGCAGAAATTATCAAGTGAAAAGCATGTTGCATAATTCAGATGATCCACATGAAAATGTTAAGTTTGAAACTTCAGGAATCATAATTTTATATGAAAATGTAGTTCATTAGGCGGTATCCAAATATTACCAGTTCCAGGAATATAGTTAATGAAAGGAGACTTAAAGTATATGTCTCCTGACATTGTTTTCAGCTTTGAAAGTGCTTTAACTTGAAGATTTACTGAGCGTGCTCGCAGATCGGCGCAGCTTCCCAGAGAGCTTGTTTTTTGTGGCACTTGACAGTGTTGGTGGCATCTGCTCTGCTGGCTCTGTCCCTACAGATGTGGCAAGATCAGCACTCAGACTTGTAGTGAGACAGCCTAAAAATAAGGAAAATCCTATTAGAATCAAAAGGGTTTAAAAAACCAACATACATTTCACTGGTTGAGAACAATGTAAGAAGCATAATCCTTAGAGAAGTCCAAGAAATCCACGTAGAAACCATACAATACTTGCAAATGGCCAACTTATCTTCTTGGGCCTTCCTGCACTCCAGGTTCCCGCTTTTGTCTTTACAAGAAAGGGCAAGGATTTCCCATATACACAGGACCACGGCACAAGACCAGCCTGCACTGACATTGTCCCTATCATCAGGATGATGGGGTGCTTGCTGCTATGCTGACACTATAGTTGCAATCCTCTCCAGAAAATTGGTATGGATTTTGATTGTCTGTATGTGAGAGTATCCAGAAAAGGTGCATGTAAACAAGCACATTTAAGCTGTATCGAAGAAAAAGAAATCGTTTGTTTTGTGTGTGTGCTAACAAAACATTTGTTATTCTTAGATGCAGGTTAAATACACATTCAGAAATATCACATATCGTCATTTTAGGATTGTACCACTTCAGAGTGCAGGTGGGGACTGTATGTCTCTATGTCCATTGAATTAAAAACAATGCACATACGTAAGAGTGGAATTCAACATAATGCTAGAGAGATCATTCCATCAGCACAATAATATCTGCTTGCTGAACAGAACAGTCTCCCCTTTCCTCCCCTGCACAATGCTATGGGGGTTCACCTGACCTACCAGGGTGGTTTTGAGGGTGGGGTGCCAGGGGCTTCCTTCATTCTCTTTTGGAATAGAGGCTTCCTTATGCAGGCTTCCTTTATTCCCTTATATCAAGCCCACAGGCATGGTTGGCCAAATCCAGTAGCTCTGGCTACTGAAGAGTGCACTGACATTTTGCTGCATACCTCTCATGAGGACTGCAAATCATTGTCAGGGAAGTCCAAAATTTGGCTGTGGCGTTTTAATGATTAAAATGCATCTTGTATTATTTAAACATGCTTACAGTAAGTTGCCAACCATAATAAAGCAGAAAAACTATGGCCAACTTGTGTATTTGGCAACCTACAGCCTTTATGCTTATGAGATATTAATTTTTTACTACATATAATGCTTTAAAAACACATATCCTTGTAGTAAACCACTTGTTCCTAATATTAACTCTTAACTTTTAAATGTTTAAGATGTTAAAGTAAACTAATGAAGCTTTTTGCAGAAGAAATCTAGCCTTGAGAAAGCAGTTCAAGCCCTAGTAACCACAAGGCAACAGCATAGCAGAAAGGATACATTTGTGTGTGGTTATTAATATCTTTTGCTTACAGTGGCTAAAAAGCAAATAAGTGAGGCTGGGGCTAGCGGATGTGAGGTGTGAAGATGCAAGCAATCTGGGCTATACCACTTTGCAATATTGTGGCATTCTGGATCCTGAGGGCAACTACTTTGCTCCATCCTGTATCTCAATAAAGGTAGTTCTCTCTCCAGGCCAAGTTGGAGAAGGCTACACAGCAAAACCCAAACAGGCAACATCTCCTCTCACATTTCACCCTTTTCCTATTTTTCCTTGTGGGCTGGGATTTTTAGTGGAGTAGGGTTAGTCTGCTTAGGTAGGATAATTCTTTCACTCTATTTCCCTTTCCCCAAGGGTAACCTCCCATCAGACAGAAGGTGCCCTAGCTGTGTAAAACTAACTTAGGAAATAAAGCTTTTAAACTTCCATTGTGGGCTGGTTATTTGTCCACATATTCCATTGCAAAGATAGACCCCAGTTGTGGTTGTTTGTTACATTTCCCTGTCAAGAAAGATCCTGGGCTGTGTGTCTCAGAGCTCATCACTGTGGGCACACACAGCAAGGTGGTTGTTTCAAAATTATAATCTAGCTCTAATCCCCAAACTAGGTTGTAATACTGATATCCCTTGTATTTTTTCTTGTTTGAAAGCCGCTGAAAAAGAACTAGGGTGGGCACCTATATAAAATGTATTTTCTGCTTTAGGCTGCTAAACAGGTAGGGTGATGAATTTTTTGCTGCTGTCACATGATGCAATTCCTAGACGATCAGCATGCACACACATCCATATAACAAAGGCAACATAACCAATGGAAGTGTTTCGGTGAAAAGGTTGGCCATGTCTATGTTATCTTGTATGTCTACACAAGCTGTACACTAATTCTGTTAAAGTAGTAAGCTGATGCCCTTTGAACAGATGCTTTTGCAAGCTGAAATTCAGGAAAACGTAAAAAAAAGATACAGATGCCCTGGAGACAGCCACAACATAAGCTTCCTGGCTTTCAGTCTTATTTCAACATTAGAAGTTCAAGGTGTCCACTGTATAATTCACATGGTACCCTGACTTGGAATGCAAAACAAGCTCTTTTCACTGACTAATCTTTCAATATGTAAGCAAGTTCAAGTTATGAGACAGTTGAAGACAAATGTAATAATGTAAACTTGTGTTTGAGGCTGGTCGTTCTTTTTCATCCCCTGAAAATTCTGAATTGCCTTCTTCAAGGAATTTAATTAAGACCCCATCCTCAAATCTACTCCTCACATTTCATTTCAGAACCTTGTGCGACACTCTGATTCCTTGAAGTACTGAAGACAATGTCTGTTTAAAATTACCTAACGGGTTTCACTGCCACTTATGAATTTTAGTCATATAGCCTTTTGGAGGATGACTGCCTGGGAACTTACACAAAATGGCAATATATAAACTTTAAATATTTTTCTTAAGCTCCAAGTCAGTCATCCTCCAAAGGCCCATGTGACTTATATTCAGAACTTGCAGTGAAATCCGATGCCTGTTTACTCAGCAGTATATTCCTCCCTGTGCTCAAGAGGGCTTATTCTCTAATACAGTAAGTATGTTTAGATTGCAGCCTAAATCTCATCTTATCTCACTGAAAAGAGAAGCAGCATCTTCTGCTCAACTCAAAAGCTAGAACACATTTAAGGAGGGTGCATATTATGTACGCAGGAGAGGGTAAGCATGCAACTTCTGTACTTAGTTCCCTGGCACAATTATAATCAATGCTCCAAGGAACATTAAAATGCATGCTGCAATCGAGCACAGTTGTTGCTACTGTGGCTTTGACAAGTCCCAGGAGACTTATGCAAATGCAAATGCCATTTCATCACCTCTCTCCTAGTAAAGTGCTTTTAAACAACGCTGTCCATCTCCTGCAACTCTCTCACATAAATATTTTTATTAATACTGAGTCAAACTCCTATATAGCAATTCCCCTGAGAGTGAAGAGGCAAAGCAAGAATCCCATCAACAGCAGAGCCTAAAAGCCTCCAAACTCCCCACCCCCATTTACAGGAACAGATGAATGCAGCATTATATGTGTTGAAAATTAATGTTTTCAACTTTGTATCAATTTTTCATCTTGATGGAATGCCAGGATGATTCACAGCCCAACCACATGATCTGTTTGTGTGACAGCACACTTCCCATGTGCTTTATCATCATGCCAGTTTACTACGAGAGGCAGCTTGGGATGAGATAACAGAAAGATCTTTGGACAGTGGGTCTGCCATAATGGTGTCACACAATTGGGCAACAGTTACAGTAGTGGCTATTTATCATAAGGAAAAATAAAAACAAACATGATATGATTCAACAGTCAGTATACATAGATAGCTAAACATTTCATTTTTTGGGATGAAAACTGTGTCCCAACCAACTGCATACAGATCATATGGAACCTTAAGCATTTTTTAACTTCTGGTGAAATATTAAAATGGGCCTGCTCTTAGCTTGGCAATCCCAAGGCATGTTTTCCTCACACCATTTCCATATATCTGTTTGCAAGCCAACTGGAAACACTCTCCCTCATGCTGTGGCCCTAGTTAACCTCTTTCCCACCCATGCTGACAGGTAGCTTAAGGCCTGCTCACTCTGGCTATTTTCCTAGGAGAGGTCCCATGTAAAGTAAGTGCCACTCACACTAAGCTCCAGGCACAGTACTTGTCTAGTACTCCATTTCAGGGTTTGGTTTCAGGAAACAGAAGGCCAAAACAAAAATGATGGTGATACACAATTAGTAATTGTAGAAATGCTGTCTTAAAAGAAAGTAAATAGTGGGCAGGGCAGGGTGGGAGGGATGCAGATAGGGATGTGATGGAGTTATAGGGTTAAAAATGGCTGCCAGTGGATCAATGATAAAGAATCCTAGTTTGTGTGCTCAGGTTGGTAAGATTTTAACCAGTCCCCAGGAGCAGAGCCATTCTCAGTCAATGGAAGTGCTGCAGTTTTAACTAGCGAAGACTGGATTCTTGGGAAGGATTCCATTTCTAGTCGATTTATTCATGAGTAAGCACCACCAAACTACTCAAAAGGTGCCAGAGACAACAGAAAGCATTATCAGGTGCTGCTTTTCTTACCATACTACTCATTGTGAGAAGACGGCCAAAATTCTCCCTTCCGTGCAAAAGCATAGGAACCCAGCCTGTATGCCATCTGCTAGCTGGAATGATGCACTTTCATAGAATGGTTTGTGCCACTGTGGACTGTGAATGGGTGCCTAATACAGTGGTGCCTCGCAAGACGAAAATAATCCGTTCCGCGAGTCTCTTCGTCTAGCGGTTTTTTCGTCTTGCGAAGCAACTCTATTAGTGGCTTAGCGGATTAGTGGCTTAGCGGCTATTAAAGGCTTAGCGGCTAAAAGGCTATTAGCGGCTTAGAAAAAAGGGGGGGAGCGGAAAAAAATCGCAAGACTCGCAAGACGTTTTCGTCTTGCGAAGCAAGCCCATAGGGAAATTCGTCTTGCGAAGCAACTAAAAAACGGAAAACCCTTTCGTCTAGCGGGTTTTTCGTCTTGCGAGGCATTCGTCTTGCGGGGCACCACTGTATTTCCATGTATGCGCCTGTCCCTCTGTGATACCTTTTCATGCTGTCTACCCTGAGATGACTCACAATGTTCATTTATCCTACAAAGATGTGCTTACAAGCTGCAACGGGTAGTACTATACTACTACTACTACTGTTTATACCCCGCTCATTAAAAACTTGCCGATACAGGGCTTCCCTTCA